GGTCCGGTACGGGCGCGACACAGGGTTGCGATCCGTTGCCGGACACGAAAAAAGACAAAAAGGAAAAAAAAAAAAAAAGAAATTGGCTGCCTTGCTTTTACCACAGTAACCAATGTCTGGGTTTTACCATGTCCGAGGTGATATCTAGTCTCGTCTAGTGAATATCTAGGCTGATGGAAAATGCTAAAAGGGCTAAAACTAAGGTAACTATCTCCGCAAGGCAAAGTAACAAATGTGTGTTGTTAGAGGCATCCTGGACACATTGCTTTCCATTCTAAGGATGATGTCAATGATCCAGATTCTGCTGCTGATAGAAAGTAAAAGCAGGACAGGCTGGTAGGGCAAATAGTTGGAGCATATCTAAAGGCAGGGCCAGCCCTTTCAGTATTTTCAAATCTAAGAGTTTTGGGTGAGGGAGGCCATGAAATGCAGTTGGGAACTGAGAAATGAATTTATAGTGGGTTCTCCCAGCCCAACCAAGAACCACAATTGTTTTCTAATCGTTAACTCTGTCCTCCATGTATGCAGTAGGGAGGGGAGATGAGGAATCAACATTTATTATTAAATAGTGCATATTACCTACATTCTGCATGTGATCCAGATGTTGGCCTCCCCCTTTCTGCTAAGGTTACCTCTTATGCACTTTGTCTCAAGAGCCCTGCTGAGTCAGTCCCTCACTAAAGCTACTTCACCAAGAATTCCTAGAACTCTAAGCCATTGATAGAATGCTGTGATCTGTCCTAATAATCCTCACGCCACACCATTACTGTGCAAAGCTGTGTCATGCTTGAAGGTCTGGGAATATGAAAGGGGTTTATGTTAAAGTGACAACTTGGAATTAAGTGTCAGACTCTTGGGTACCCTGCCCCCAGGAATTTCTTACCAGTCTCCATTCCCAGAAAGTTCTTTTCATAAATACAGCCCTCTTCTTACCAGCCCACCCTCACCAATCATCTTTTATGTATTTTCTCCCCTAAAGCCTCACCTGTAGGCATTATCTTTTTCGGGAATGTATGACAAAAAATTATGGAGCATGATACAAGATGAGTAAGCCTATAATTACAATTGGACATTAAAAAAACTTATCTGTGTTGAAATCTCAATGAACTGCATGACTGCTTCCATTCCATTTTACTTTGTAAAGTATGTAGCGTAACTTGCGTTGCGGCAGTATTTCCTAAACACCCACAGTGTGCAAGGTTATGAGGGAATGTAAACTTCACAAGGGCAGATTCTCTTTTTCACAGACATGCCTGGAACCTAGAAGAGTGACTGGGACATAGGAGGTGTTTAATAAGTTGAATGCAAGAATGAATGAGAAGAGAAAGGTACATCTAAAAAGCACAGAGAACCTAGAGAATATTGGGGGAAAGGCAAGTCTTCCAGTTTGCATGAAATCTCAAACACCCAGAGTGCTGTGGGTGTCCAGACAAGCTTGTTGGGGTTGTATAATGTAATGGGTGAAAACATATGGCTGCCTTAAATTCAAACTTCAAGTCCATTAGTAAAATTTTACAAAGCCTACCATGCCACACATTCCTTTTTTATTTACTTTTCTGCTCCCCCTGAATATCAGAGATTTTATCAATCCATGATAAAGTGCAGTTGATCCTCATTGTTTGTGGATTTCACATTTGCAAATTGGCCCTATGACTAAAATTTATTTGTAGCCCATTTGTGATCATTCTTGGTCATGTGCAGAGTGGTGAAAAACTTGAGTTGCCGGATGCACACGTTCAAAGCTGAGGTGGAACAAGGTGACACTTTGCTTTTTTGTTTTAGCTCTCACACTGTGAACAAGTGTCCTTCTCACAGTCTATTTGGTGCCAAAGCTTTTGCATTTTTGTGGGTTTTTTTGATAATTGTGCTATTTAAAATGGCCCTCAGGCATAGGGCTGAAGTGCTGTCTAGGGTTCCTAAGCACAAGAAGGCTCAGATGTACCTTATGGAGAAAATATGCATGTTAGATAAGCTTCCTTCAGGCAAGAGTTATAGTACTGTTGACCACGAGTTAAACGTTAATGGATCAATAATATATATTAAATAAAGTGTCTCTAAACAGAAATATACATAAAACAAGGTTATGTATTTACTGATCAGTGAAGGAAAACCTTGTGACTAGAGGCTAGTGGGAACCTAACCCTCTATTTTTCCTAGGAGCAGTGGTTCAGTGTTGGCTAATTTGGTGTTTGCCTTGACTTTATAGTAGTACATAACTACCGTGAATAACAAGAATCAAGTGTATTACAATTTTGTTATAAACATATAGTAAGATTACCTGCAATATATCTCACACAAAACATTTTGTATATGATTTTTATGTGCTCTAACACTCATTTTTAATCTTTATAACCTGTCAAAAGAGCATCTTTAAACATTTTATTATAGTTTCATTTTTCCATTTTTTGCAATCACTGATTAATCACGTATAGTGAGTGACACACTGTGGTTTCAAATTAGCCTGAATACTGTGGCAGATGCAAAAGCACAATATGGTCCTGCTCTCAAGGAATTTCTTTTGCTTTATTTAGGAAGCAAAACACAGATTAAAGTTAATATATGAGACAACATGACTTAAGTACCAAACCACATGATGTATAATTTTTTTCCCAGTTGTCTGAAATTTCTATAACCTTGGCCTGGATGGAGCAGAGCAAGGCCTCAAACCATTTCAAAACTGTTCTGGCAAGCACTGTAGGAATGCATAGAGTCACCGCAGACCCAAGCATGCTGGAGGCTTGCTAGTGCACATATAATTTTAAGTCAGTGTTTCCTCAGCTTTTTCTAGGTAAAAGCTTATTTTAGTAATCAGAAAGGATGTGCTGAAGGTATGGATTAGAATGGTTGCAGGGAAAATGAAAATGAGGAATAGACAGGACATGATACAGTGAAGAAAAATGCTAGTCACCAATAATGCCAAGGTTTTATGCCTTCAGGTTCAAGGGAGAGAAAAAAGAAAATCGCCCTGATCACAACTGAAGTCAAGAGGCAGCACTTGGGAAAAACAGTGATTTTAATTTTAGATATAATGACTTTAAATTAACAGCGAAAACATCTGGGAGAGATCCTAAAAGTAAAGGACTACATAAAGAGCAGAAGACCAGAGATAGAAATTTGTAAACTGTCTTAAGTGTAGCATGTTGGTAAGTGGGCCTTTAGAATCAATAAAATGAATGAAATAAAAACAACAGAGATGACCAAGATAGCCTTGAAGAAGTGTCATCTTTAGGGATTGAAAAGACAGATGCTAGTGGAAGTCATCAGAGGGAAAATCCAGAGAATGAATCGAGGTAATCTGTGTGTTATCAAAATAAAAACAACAGAGATGACCAAGATAGCCTTGAAGAAGTGTCATCTTTAGGGATTGAAAGACAGATGCTAGTGGAAGTCATCAGAGGGAAAATCCAGAGAATGAATCGAGGTAATCTGTGTGTTATCGAAGTAAAATCGATTATTTCGAACAGGGTCTAATAATGCTATAAACGCAGCAGAAAGGTTAAAAAAGAATGAAATGGAGAGAGAAAAAGGTTTTGGCATTTGGCAAGGAGGGAGCCAATAGTGACCTGATAAGATCCAGTATGATAGTCAGGGGTTAAGTTGGGGTTTTTAAGAGGGAAGGAGGAGTGGGGCAGAAGGGGACACACACATTTGCTAAGCACTACTACAGGACAAAGGAGCAAGTCAGGCACTGGAACCATAAAGACTGTCCCAGCCCTGCCACTGCAGAGGAGTTAATAGAGATCATTGCAGTCTAGCACAACAACTTACAGAATATACTAAATCCCATAATAGAGGGATAGTGAGAGATACAAACCAAGCGATTGATTACTGGGTGTATGTGGCGGGTGGTGCAGGGAGATGTCTGAGAAGGATCTAGAGTATTCGCATTTGGGTTTCTGGAAAGGCATATGTACTGCACTAGAGACAGGTGGAAGGGCAGCGTAGGCAGAAGGACCAGTATGCACAAAGAAAGATGAAATACCACAGTC